CGAGTGCGGGCAATCATTTCTACACAACCGGTTTGTCGGCATATAAGCCACGGCACGATGCGAGCAGAAGTCGGTTGAATAAACCAATCTTGGTATTTACTATACCACTACTAATCCTAATCCGTCAATGTACCATGCTATTAATAAGCAAACAAACTCGCACAGTTTACATGATGGTTGGCGACGCTACCTATTTCTTGGGCCAACCGCTGGAGGCGGGCATATTGACCATAAATACCATCATTATATCTCTTTTATCGCAAGCGGTTAATTACTATAATTATCGTATGGGTATAAAACCACGTGATCTTCGAGTATTTGAAATGATATTAGGCTTAATACCACCCGCGAGTATTGGTATTACAGACCAAAGAGTGGTCATTAAATTGCTAGCATTTTCCAGAAAATTTATCATGATGGGAAATGTTACTCAAAACAGTGTTTCCTATATTATTTTTGGTATTATTTTGTTAATATTTTCTACAAAACAGACAATGAGCGAGGTGATATTTATAGCATTACCTCATAGTATCTTATGGGGTCTGACTGGACATTATGTAGTTAATATCTTAATGTGGCAATTAGTGTATTATTTTATCATCACCTATTATTTATTATTAAAATTTGATTTAATAAACGCGTTGATGACTACCACATTACTTGTTAGGGATGTGAACGGGAAGGTACAGAAATTTACAAGAAACCTACATAATTTATTTGCCGAGATTGACAATTATAACCATATATATTGGTCAAAGTTTTTGGCAATTTATTGGTTAATGATCAGTTCCGTATCGACAATCACCCTGTACATATCGATTTATGGGAAAACAATATTTTACGCCAGGTTAGCCATACTGGCGATTGGCTTTCAGTTTGTGGTCACTTTGATGTTTGTTATACATTATTCATCACTACTTTGCACGCGAGCGCATCAATCATATAATTTATTGAACACCCTGTATTGCAACAATCATACAATCAATATAATCAACAAATTTAAGGTAAACAGTAGATATACCGTATATATTAAATTTAATTTTTATTAATAATTTAATATTTGTTTTACAAAATACTATTTTAGATGCAATTAATGATTGAAAGATTGGGTCAAAATAAAGTCGGCTTTTATTGTTGGAAATTATTTCTCATCAATAGATTCCGTGGATATGAAGTGAGTGTTAATTCTATAATAATTTTATAGTAGAATAATTAATTCAAACTATTAGTTATTTGATGCTATGTTACAATTATATAATATGGCTATATTCTATTGATAAAATACTGTATTTATATCAATCTAGATAAGTTTGTCAAAATGCGCTTAAAACTTAGATTTTTAAAACTTTTAATTCAAACTTGCTGAATTTTAATTAATTTATTATTTCCAAATTACAGCTTATTTGCATAATTGGTTTGCTATTTATAAAACTGGTCGAAATGTCTAAATGAAGTAATATTACATTTTGTATAAATCGCATATTTACCTGGTTTTGATTTAGGTAAATACAAAACCAATAAATTATAAACTGTAATTATTAAATATAACATGTTGTAGAGGTAATAAATATTGTTCATTAATGTAATTTAATTGGAAGGTCTTATGGTGGGGTTATAAAATTAATTTTTGAACAACATAAACATTTTATTTTATGTTATGCTATGATAACAATTAATAAAATATAATTTTTTATAACATGTAATTTGTAAATAATAATAAAATAATATATCTTAATCACAAAACTAATTGTATTAATAAGTAAATAAATTTTTAATATAATTTTATTATTTTATTTTTAAATATTTTTATTCATTAGTAATAAATCATTACACAATAATAACTATATATTAATATTGTAAAAACCACACAAAACTCATCTAGATCTACTTTCTATTACAATCGATATATTTAGATAAAACTACAAAAAATTAAAATAAAATTTATTGATTAAAAAAATCAGAGAATATGCATAAAATAATAAACATGTGGTCACTCTATTGTTGTTGCAAGTCTGCTACTTGTTTGCGCCAATGACTACGAGTGCCCCACGGCTTGCCTGCGGCCACTTTGAACATACCATTCACTGCCGGGCCCTCCACTCCCAGCGCATCGGCCGCCATATACGGCCAGTTGGGGTTATTAATCAACGCCCGGCCCATTATAACCAACGCAGCGCCGGTACGGGTCAACACGTGCTCGGCCTGGTGTGGGTCCACAATCAAGCCGTGAGCAGCGGTGGCCACACCTGCCTCTCGCTGTATAATACCGGCGCTCTCTATCTGAATGGCCGTTGGATTCATGGATGAGTTGCCGGCGCCCGACACCAGACCTCCTGAACTGCAGTCTATGAGATCGACGCCCAAAGCCTTGAGCCGTTTGGCCAACACTACGGTCTGCTTCACATCCCAACCGTCGGGACAGTAGTCGGTGACCGACACCCGAACGGCCAGTACTATGTGGTCGCCGATCGCCTGCCGGACAGCACAGGCTATAGACAGAGCAAAACGCATGCGATTGTCGAGTGAACCGCCGTAGAGATCGGTCCGACTGTTTGTGAGGGCAGATAGGAATGTGTGCACTAAATAACCATGGGCAAAGTGTAACTCTATTACCTGGATTACCATTGATCAAGGTTACTTTATAAAATTTTCAAATTACACTAAATTATGTAAACGTTAGATTAATATTAAATTAACTTATTAAAAATTTTAACTTAAACCATCTCTCTCTCTCAAGCACATGTCGAGGCGGCCGTCCGGGCGGTTGACATAGGATTTAAGGTATTTTTATTAAGTAATGAGAGAGAGAGAGAGAGAGAGAGAGAGAGAGAGATCAAACTTTTTTTTATACATTTTTATACACTAAACTATTTTAAAATAAACTAATAATAATTTAATGGTAAAAATAAATTAATGGTAGAATAAAAAGGACTAGGGCTATCGTACACTTTATGATCATATTTTGACTAACAATTTTACAGCGCTGTTTTTGTACCATGGTACTATTTATAATTACAGTCCTTTTTATACACACTCTTTGAGCTCATATTTGATACACACTCTCTCTCTCTCATTACTTAATAAAAATACCTTAAATCCTATGTCAACCGCCCGGACGGCCGCCTCGACATGTGCTCTACAAACAGCTTCAATGTCCTCAACACTCGCCTCTAACGGACACATATAATCGGCGGCAAAAGGTATGGCCGACGCGGCTATAAACTCGTGGCCATCATCACCAGCAGCCCTGCCATCGGCCACAATGGCCTCCTTGCACTTGCGGCCGGCGTGAAGCAACTGCACGCCCGGCACAGCGCCCTGTTTGGCGACAAAGCGGGCCACTCGGGCCAACTCCGGGCGCTGTTCGTCACACCACAGGCCCAACGCGTGCGGATTGTGTCGACCGGCGCGACACACGGTGACGCCGCCCACCATCACGAGTCCGGCGCCGCCCTTCGCGTACGCGCCCGCAGTGACCAAATCCCAGTCATTTGCGGCCACTCCGTTATCAGTGGCCCCGAATTGGCTCATCGGCGACACCGCTATCCGGTTCCGGAAGGTTACCGACCGTATGGTTAACGGTGTGAACAGTAGTGACTGTACGCCCGACTCTACACACGACTCAGTGTTATTTTTCCCGGCCATTTGTTATGCCTCTACCCTTACTGTTACCCTATTTATTAGGGAATATAATCAACGCATATAAGAATATTGTAGAAATTTTAAATGATTTTAATTAATCATATTAAAACTGTTTAATAGATTATTATACTAATACATGACAATTTATAAGAATAATTAGGAAAAGTAGTTTGTTTAAATAATTCATTATGAAAATTATATTTACCCAAATTATATGTTGATTAAAATAATATTATATATTTATTCCAAAGTATCTCATTTACTACACCTAATTTACTATGCTGTCTAGATTACTATATACATGTATAAAATACATTTAACAATGACTTTAGAAAATTTAATGCAATACACCAAATACATAAATGAATAAATTTTATATCATTGAATTTTACTAGTATAGAATGACATACCAAATAAACTAACATTTTACTAATGATTGTAATGAAAAACTATTATTTCTGCTAAATTATTGATATACATGTAAATTAATGAAACAATACCAAAGCCGGTGTCGGTTCAGTGCCGAAGCTTCGGCTCCAATATTTCAATCACTACTTTACATAATATACAGTAAATAAAATGTAAGTACTCTGCTCGGTTTTGACATGTCATCGTGGTTGTAAAAAATATGTGTTAAAATCGAGTTATAATATGGCAATTATAATATAATTAGATTATAATGATACCTGTATATTCAGATTGTGATGACTAAATTTAACATGGTCACAATATATCACAGTAAATGCAATATATATTACACGGTATCGAAGTTATGTTAAATAAGAATGTATTACAAACAAGAAATCATTTTCATATAGTTTTGAACAAATAGAAATTTATATTTAATTCAGTTCTTAATTTTAACAGCAAAGTTATTTGGTAATAACTTACATAGAGATATTAGCAATTGCATACATTGCTACAATTATTGTTTTAAATTTATTATCTGATTTAAATGGTGTAGATTTAAAAGGACATTTCTCAGCCATTGTGACGCTAGCCTTTGTTTTCACCAGGGTGATCCAATCCTTATACATTTCCATATATGAACGAACTATCATATATCTTGTGCACCAGGGTCGCTTTTATGCATGTCTATCATTTCCTTGTTAAAGTTATCCAGCACGCTAAAATTAAAAATAACTTTCATATCTAATTTAAACTAAACGTTGATAAATTAATTGGTATTTATTTTTTATTGACTAATAATTATCTTATAATGCAGCTACTGTATATTGTAAATATCATTTTAATAAAACTCACCATAAGAAATTAGCTAGAGCATTTGATTTATCTTTGGTTTTCATTATATTTGAAGCATAACTAATCACCTTGATGTACAATTTTTTAGCCTGATCTACTTTTCCATTTAACACTCTGGCGACTTTGATATTATAAGGAGAATTGCAAAATGCCTTTTTTGCAATATATTTTGAGCTAAACAAACTCAACGCGATAGTTTTAAGCTCAGGCTTCAGAGTTGTGAAATATTCTGTGGCCCCATCTAGGTCATTTTGACTAATAATAATTAAAATCAATTTTGTAATAATCAAGTTTGTTTAATTTATTATTAAGTTAAATAATGGACTCACATTCCTGCACAGTAACTTTTCTTGGCTATTTTTGTTTCAGGGAATGTTATTCCCGTTCCCATCGGCCATAAACTATTTAATAGCTTATTGGTCGCCGGATCAGTGTTACAGTTGCCTAGATTATAATTTTTACGTTTAAAATATTTATATAACATGTAAAAATTTACTAAATTAAATATTGTAAATTGAAATATCCAGTTTTTATATAATTTTATTTTTATGCCTAAAAATCAATAATTCAATTTATGATATTTTGTCTTTAGAATAAAATTTTTCAAAAATATTTCCTATTATCTTTATTTAGATTTAGTATATTATTTAACTACATTGTATATAATTATTTATATTAAAATATAGAAATTTTTCAACACCATGAGTTAGCATGCAAAAGTTGACTTACAATGTTAACCTAATATTTGAAAATCCACATTCTAATGATAGTGGTAATGTAAATATTTTAATAACGAAAATTAATAAAACTCATAAGAATACAAAATAAACTCCTTTTGAGTAGTCGAAAAGACCAACTATTCCATAGACCACATTATTTATAAGTGAATTATGGTTAAACATTATTAAACATTATACAATAAATTAATTAAATATTTATAAAAATATTCTCATTTCTATAATGCAAATAATAATGTTATATTAGAGTATCACTTAATTTATGTATTATATAATTATAGATAATAAAATATAACAAACCTGATAATATAAATCCCGTTACAATTATAATAATATTTGTGACCATTTTGATTTATAAATTATTCAATATTTACTTAAATATAAAGTCATATGTTAATTAAAGTAATGTCGATATTAATATTATTATTAATTAAGTATGAAAGCTAGTTTTTGAAACCAGATGGAAAACGAAACTTATATGCTTTCTTCAATCGGAGAGTGAGTTTTCTCTGTAATGCTTTCTCTATGAAGAAAGAAATATTGCATAATTTAAAATGTGCTTGCTGTATTTCTACAATTTTTTTACCATGAATATTTAGCGACATTTATAAAAGTACAAAAGCTATTTCAAAAATCAAATTGTTATAAATTAAAATAGAAACAAAACAATTTCTCACTTTTTTAATATTAAGATTTTAACATATTTTTTATATGTAAAAATTTATTTTTATGAACGTTTCATATTGGGAATCTAAAAAATTGAATAAATAAGTTAAAACATAAATATTATACGGGTCTTAACTAACAATAAAATACAGTAATTATTAATTATTCAATTACTTGAGCATTACAATGAAGGTATACTGTTGTACATTATATAATAATAAGATAATATATTTATTAATAAAATAGCAAAATATTTACTAATAATCTAATCACAGAATTAACCAATTGTTTTAATCAAAACTTATGATACATTTCACACACAATTTGTATATTTACAACATTATATAAATAGTGACAATTAATAATTGAATCATTAGTTATTAATATAAATAATAAATCAATTATTACGTATTGTAAACAACAAAACAACTAAAACATTGCCCACAATGTTATACCTGAGCGCAGGCCTACTGTTAAGCTTATGCCTGACTATCGGTGCCGAAACGGTGGACGTGAAGACCAGCTCCGGGACAGTCAGGGGTCAGACAATCGTCGAGATGGAGAAAAGGCTGAACGTATTTCTGGGCGTACCGTTCGCTGAGCCCCCGGTGGGTGCCCTCCGTTTCGCCCGACCCCATCCCATCACTACACCCGCGCCGGTAAATAACACAATGAATTAAAAATACAATACAATTGACAACATTTAGCAACAATTACTGTAAATTACAGGACATTATAGACGCGACTGCAAAGAAAACCTCGTGTTTTGGTGGCGACCAACCGGTCAGCGAGAACTGCCTATACGTTAACATATGGGCCCCGCATAACACTACTGGTGCCCTAAAGCCGGTAATGTTTTGGATATATGGGGGCGGATTTAGGGGCGGATCGATATTCTCGGACATGTATAACGGCAAGTCGTTGGCCGCGTATGATGTGGTGTATGTGTCGGTTGACTACCGGTTGGGCTCTTTGGGCTTTCTCTATGGCGGCGATGACGTCGAGGCGCCCGGAAATCTCGGTCTATTAGACCAACTCGAGGGACTTAAATGGGTTTGTGTTTTTATTATCTAGTTCATAATTTATGTGTACAGTGTTTGTATTTGTAATTCCCACAACAAGTTTTAAAAACATTGTTTGAGTATTGTTTTATTACCTTTCCATATAACCCTATGGATATCAATAAACAGGTGATATTACATAATGTGAAACACCAGTTGTTATATCCCAAAGAGATTACTGTTGTTATTACCTTGTTATCAAAATACTTATGGTAAACAGAGTACATACTTTCCTTACTAATTATACCTTGTTTACTTGTAAATTGACCTTGTTATTACAAATTAGATGATAGGGTAATACTTTAACGCAACAAAACTACAGTATATTTACACAACAGGTCCGGGAAAACATTGACCAGTTTGGCGGCGATAAGGATAAGATCACAATATTTGGTGAATCGGCCGGCAGTATGTCTGTGTCGGCGCTGGTGTTGTCCCCACTCGCCAGAGGGCTATTCAAACGGGCGATCCTCGAGTCGGGCGCTGCGCTCAACGCCCGCGCGAGTGGACACACAAAGGCGGCCGCTTTGGCCGACGCCAAACAGATGGCCAAACACTTTCAGTGTCCCGACGATAACGCTTGGTTAGACTGTGTGCGCAAAGTGGCCCCCGCGGACATTCACGGCTACACCGCGCTTAGAGTGGGCCCAATCGTGGGCACAGAATATATGCCACTGTCCGCCCAGGAGGCGTTCGAGCAAGGCAAATTTAACTCAGGTAAACTTAAATGTTATATACAGTAACTTAGGCTAAACTAAAACTAAATTCATGATGATGATAATCAGTGGGTAAGTTTTAATTAGTAATGCATAGTTGTTGTTTAAAATT